TTCAGCTCGTCAAGACGCATCGAATGATATACATGATGACCTCGAGGTCACGTGACCTGAGGTCAACCTTTGACCTTGACCTTTCGAGGTCAACATATATATCATTCGATGCGGATTGACGAGATCACGATGATCACGATCACGATCACGATCACGATCACGAGATCACGAGATCACGATGATGCCCTTAGTTTGTTCCTATCTTGACTAATTCGAAAGTTATTCGAGAAAAACTCTCTCCATATCTAGCGCCGCCATTTTGACTTTTTCGACCCCTGTGACGTCATCTTTGACCTGACCTGAAAATGACCTTAGTAAAAATTGTAGATCTTGGCCGTGCGTATCCGATGCCGTTTACCGCTTGTCGCTATCTTGCTTCGTTCGCGAGATCTCAGGGGGGGCGGTCATCCGCCCCCCCCCCCCGTCGGTGCGAAGGTGGCGCAGTCGGTGCGCGGGTTAACTTCTTTGAATGTGGGATGGTCCCTTTAACAGTTTTTATTTAGGCCCAGCAGTCCTTAATTAATTCGTAAAAACCAAAGTTCTCTTTACTGAGCTGAGATTAGGTCAAAGGATATATCGACCCTGGCTTTCTCGTAGTTTGTGTCGAGGTAAATGTCTTGCACATGATGTTAAACGTGGTAGGCGCTGGAATTGCAAACAAAGACGATTTGATGCAGCTAGAGTATTTTGGTGTACGTACGCTTACTTGGATTTCTCTACAGACGATGTTATCGAGCAGTCTTACAGTGTTCGTCATAACTACCTGTGGTCCACCTGAAAATATATTTAAAGATTAGAGAGGTTTCAGTATTCTTCGAAATCTATAAATTCCACATGCATTACCTATAACAGAGGCAGGTACATTTGTTAGAATGCCCCCACAAATCGAGAGCATAAGTAGATTGATTTACACAGAGAAAGTACGTAATCAGTTAGATGGCTCGTAGTTCCTTCCTCAATAAAAGTTTGACATATACGCAGGCTTCTACCTTGATTATAAACAGAACTGTTACTTCGAGCGAACTTTATGTTATATGAGCTATCGGTAACAAGCTTGCCAACTTCAATTCTCCTTGATAGACTTTTGCGCTGTAAGGCGTGTATACTGTATACCCATTTTTAACTTCAAGTTACTTTAGGTAACTTTTAAAGTTACTTGAAGATAAGGATAGTTGCAAAATGCAAGTTGTAAGCTACTTTCGACTCGAGGGAAGTACCCGACAGTTCGATACCACCGTTCGCCCTCCATTCATACCACCACCTCTGCCGTTGGCTGTAGTGGTCACAGATCGCGCTCAGATCCATCGAGTGACCTACCACTCCCCACTCCCCACCATTAAACTTCCCGGGCTACCAGCGGGACGCTGCTGCCGACCACACCGGCCATCAGTCCCCCGTGGGCTCACCACGGGCCCGGCCTCACACCGCGCCACACTCGCCAGGTGCCGAGTGACTTCTCTGGGCCCACAGCGGCCCCGCGGCGGGTCAGGGCACCCCAGGGTCGGTCAGGACATCGTGCGGGGTCGGTCAGGGCACCCCTAGTCCGAGATCGGCTAGAGCACTCCGGGCGATGATGGATGTTTGCAATGTCGAGTATTGAATGGACGAATGTAATAGCATCCTCCTAATCCACTGTGCTTCAGTTCACTGGCCGCGTATTTCTTGGAAATCGTTAATATTTGAGGTTGGTAATAAAACAAAGTTTAGTTTGGTCTCTTCAGTTCGTAGGTACTGCATATATTATTCCGAGGCACGGGCTAGTTTAGCCTTAGTAACCACGTTCTAGCTTCACCTTGCCGCCTATCGGGCGTGTATTCAGACAGATTAAAGGGACCCTCCCACCTTCAAAAAAGTTAATGAATTGGCATGAAAGTGATGTCGCTCGGTTCAGAAAGAGCAAAAACGAATATTCACCAAATTTCACCGAAAAATATTCACCGGTTTTCAAGATATTAGACTTTTACTTTTGTTTACTTTTTTGGGATCTCCGCTGTTTCTAGCGACTTTATTTTAGAAGTGCGGCGTTTGCGGCAGATGCTGCGCGCAAATAGCATATACCACCGCGTGCTACAAAACGTTTTAGTCAAACATTTAAAAATCGTTAGATATCTGCGCTGACGTCACACATTCAGAGGGGTATTCCTAAGCATTAGCCCCTCTGAATCAAAATGCTGCAATTTTGAAATTCAATATTTCCGATTTAAGGCATTTCTCGATGTTGTGAGTGCCGAAACCGGTAATTGTGAGCCAGGGACCCCATTTTGGCTATCTCAACTCAAATCTAATGTTAAGGTGGGAGGGTCCCTTTAACCGGAGGATCACGGCAATCGGTGACACCGTATTGGGTTCTGCTGCCTGCTGGCGATCGACAACTGCCCCTCTGAATATAGATATGCAGCCCCACGGCGCAGTTCCGTCTGACAACTAAAGCGTGGTATCCATCGTCTGTTTACCTATGTTATATCAATTTCACATCAGCGGCTCTCCAAACAATATTGCTGATGCATCGAAGAAGCATCATTGGGCGGTTATATTTCTGTTCATTAAGTGTTTATCTTTTTCTTACCAAGTGAATGAAAACTACGAGCATGCTAATTGCTTTCCACGGTGACATTCGTATATGTACATATTCGCCGTTTATGTGCCTAGTCACTGGTCACATGCACATGTTGTTAGTACAACTTAGCTGCTTAGCCACCATAAGATAAACTTACGTCTGTCATGTAAACCTATGTCTACATAATATTCCAGTGTACCTTTATCACCTTGAGCCCTCAGTTAGGTACGGTGTAAGTGGTGTGTGCATGCCATCTCGGCGTCTTTAACGGTCATCAGCTAAGTAGCACTGACGGCTGAATGGCCGGGGTTTCGCCGCACGTCTGAGGAAGCCATTAACTCTGTGCGGCTGCCATAACGGGCGAGGCGGGCATTAGCGGGTCCGTCGGCACTCACTGGGACATATCCAGCGCTCGGCGCACGGAGGTGTTTGGTACAACGGCTGCGGGAGAGGACACCCAGCCACCGGACACGCGGGGGCTGAACTGACCGCACTGCGGTTCAGAAGTGGGCAGACTCGGTCTTGTCTTGTATCCGCCCCCTGTCGGGCTGAATACAACACAACAGCAAATGTGGGAGCGAATGGTTTTAGTTTGTGCAAAGAAGCTACCACCCACTCATGGTTCGGATGATTTATTCGGCTGAATGTGGGTTTATTGCGAGTGGTTACCAGGCTCTGTGGGCAGTTTGACCTCAGTGATTAAGATTTGTGCTGGCTGAGTCTCTAATAACGACTTTGAGTATCGCGTGGGAGCAACTGAGATCTGTACTTTTTACAGTTCAGGAAGGGATGAGCATTGGTCTTATATTGAAACAACCCAGAATGTGTACTAGATTGGATACATATTACCCTCAAAATGGTCACTCATGCATCGGCAGATGAGCAGCTCTAATTTAACGAATCTCACCCAACTTCAGGAAAAATAAGACACCTAGATCATGCCTCCATAACATTGACGTAGTTACATCAGGTTGTCCATAAATTTCATTTCTATTTTATGGACTGCCTAAAACATAGCTCAATTTACAAAGTGCATTGTGCAGTGCCACAGATAGGAACTCATATGGGTAAGGACTGGAATAGTCCATCTATTTTCATGACCAAGTTCATATCGGGAGAGGTTTATCAGCTCAATAGCAAGGAGTTCTTTATCTCTGAAAGAGACCATTCATTGAATGATTTAAAAAAAAGAGCGATGTGCACAACGATTTGCTCGGATTACGTCACACTATCTGATAAGGTCAACGCAACTGTCGATCGATCGACATCCGGCATAGCTACAAGAGAGCATTGATATACAAAAAGAACGTAATGCCTCAGCCATTTCAGCACAGGCGCTCAATCACCTACTTATGCTGAGTGTTTGTCTACTGAAGCTATCAAATCCGATCGGTCAGAAAATGCATCGCAGGTTTCGATACGTAAGGTAAAAGCTGCGCAGTGACAAGGAAATGCGGCAAAAGTGGCTCATTTTCCACCCGTTTAGCGCGTCACATACGCCGCCGTGCCGCGTCACAGATGTCACCGCGCCGCACCGGTGTCATATGAGGGGCGGCGAGCAACAGCCGGCATCCTGAGGCCTGGGGCGGTAATAGATGCAGCGGACGGGCGCTGCGCCAATATTAGTGTAACCCAGTGCGAGCACAGACGATGCTGCCCAGCTTCGTCACAGGGCATCGTTTGAACGCACGAGGATATCGTGTCTTAGTAGGATAATCCAAATGTTGTGAATCGTCCAACTGAAAATAAAAACAAATACCCTCCTCTGTATAAATTTGTGTTCCTCATGAAAACAATATTCCAAATTTAAACGTCCCACGTTCACTTAAAGCCTGGCCCAGCAGCCCACCAACGTGAGTGTATCCGGTCACGCCAATACAGGTCAAGCGGCACCAATCGTACTTGAACCCCATTGATAGCATGGCTGAATGGAAGCGGCAATGGCATCACTGCACGGGAATCATCACAATGATCGGAGTGGAGGACCGTCATCTGAGGCTTCTGAGCTTGTTCTGAGCATCCTCCATGACTCGACACAGAGGGTGCAGGGCCAGATTAAATCCGATCTGTTTCAACCAGGGTACTATGTGGTGGCCTAGGCCCTCCCTCCCCCTCTCTCTCTCTCTCTCTCTCTCTCTCTCTCTCTCTCTCTCTCTCTCTCTCTCTCTCTCTCTCTCTCTCTCTCTCTCTCTCTCTCTCTCTCTCTCTCTCTCTCTCTCTCTGTCTCTCTGTCTCTCTGTCTCTCTGTCTCTCTGTCTCTCTGTCTCTCTGTCTCTCTCTCTCTCTCTCTCTCTCTCTCTCTCTCTCTCTCTCTCTCTCTCTCTCTCTCTCTCTCTCTCTCTCTTTCTCTTTCTCTTATCATCTGTCGTGTACCGAAATGTTATCCCCAACTATCTCTCATTTCTTCCCCACTAATCAGTGTGTGTGTTCCGTCTGCCGGCAGGTCGCTCCGGACTGGCTAACTCAGTATGTCTCCGATCTCCACGACCGGAGTCAGCCGTCGGGGCTGGCAGCGCGGCCTCAGCAACCAGAGGCGGAGCTGCGGCTGAACGGCCTTCCGCGCAGCTCGGCCGCCGAGCTGCTGGAGCTGCTGCCCATGGCGCGGCCGCCGGCGGCGCTGAGCAAGCGGCAGATCCGCTACCACCAGTGCTACTTCAACCCGATCGCCTGTTTCCGGAGGCGGAAATAACACGACGGTCGGACGCGGGACGATGACGAAGGTACCGGTGGCCGGTGGCCACGCGGTGCTGGCGAATTGCCATACGACCTGGGTGAAGAGATAGGAGCGTCCTGAAGAACAGAACATCGGGCAATTGGCTGCTCCTGCCGAGTCCGACGACTGTGACAATAAATATTCGTGACAATTAACGGTGAAAGCGATTTCCAGAAGATAAAATGCAGTTCAGGAGGAAATAAGAATTCAGCATTGTGAACGTTGCCAATTAGATTCGAATGCATTGTGTTTCTTGTGCATCGCCCACCATAGATTTGGACAATCCATGATGTTTGTTATAGCTTTGTTTCAATATTCGGTAGTTTTTTTTCAAAAAAGGAATTCCACTAACCACAAAGCTTTGTTTTCTATTTTGCATCTCACATTAAAACCGACACCTCAAACAATGCCACCACTGCATTCAAACTGTTATACGGAAAGCACTGGCATTAAATAGAATCGAAGAAACTGAACCAGCAATATTGAACGTTTCGGTACGGAACCATGTGTCGCCGATGAGTCAATCCACATAAAGGGCTCTTGGCAACACACTGAACGAAAGAATTGTTTGCACAGCAATAGCATATACCTATTTCCTATCACTTCTGGACGAAAGAGGCGATGCAAGGTAGCCCTGAAAGCAAGATCCGGAGAAACTATATTGCTCGAAGTGAGCAAAAGAGGCTACTGGCACATGCCACTTCAGATATCGACAATAATCCACAACATAAAACAGCATCCATTCACAAAGTTGGAAACACCAAGGAACTGGTTTCAAAAAGATGACAGGGGAGAATCAAATTCAAAGTCCTTGTGCAAACAAATGTGCACCAGGGCCGCATCCCCCGCCAACATTGGGCTGGTAAAATCACGTGACTCAACTTCCGGACAGAGTGCGACCGGAAGGGAGGCTGGAAGAGAGCGACCGAGATAACACCGGCGCCGGGCTCTCTGAGACCGCGACAGTCGGCCGAGGCCGGCGGTCAGCCACCTGTACCGCTCTCTCTATGTACACGTGCCTACGGGCGCCGCCCGGCAGCCGCCTAGGGTGCCGGGTGGGCAGGTATAGGCACTCGGACGCTGTGACCACAAGGAGGAGGTCACGTGACCCCACTAACGACGACTGTGCTCTGGCCGGCGCGGCCGGCGGTGAGCCGCTTTGTATCTCGGTGCGTGTCGTGTGTACAGTAGTTTGTTTTCGTGTCGTGTGGTGTGCTCCCAAGTAAGTAAACATGTTGCATTTATCGTAATACATTTGTCGCAAATAGTTGCCGTGTTATTGCGCTTATTACGATCATTTATTTGTGTTGGAATTGCTAAGGAGCGGAACTAATTCAATACAAGCAAAGTCAATCTATATGCTCTGAAGTATGGACACAAACATCTGGTAAAAGCTGCTTTTCTTGGCTCTTTGAGCATGTCTAAAATTACGCTCAACCAGAAAAGGGCAATTGGACAGGCAAGCTTTTTTTTTTAAATATTTTTGGTGCCCGACCCGGGCTTTTTGTCGTTAGTAGCACACATTCATACTGGGTTAGTACACTATATACACGGCAGTGGTACGAATCGTTTTCGGCACCCGCTACGCGGGACAGCCTTGACCGCACGCTTCCTGTCACGCACCCCAGGTGGCACCGCACTGGTGCGCACGCTGGGGCTATCCCGATTTCTCGGGCCCGGCAGGTCAGAGGGCTGCTCCGGGACATGAACCGAGGCCGTGCCCTAGGGACATGTCACCGGACCGAAGGATCTGTTTAAAGGCGGATCAGGCCCGTGTACCTGCGGCCGGGGGCGCTGGCTGGCACAGCGGTAATCCCCACGACCGAGCGAACACTCCCCAGTTACTGCCATCTCCTGGGTAGGAGCCGGCCGAGGAAAACGCTGCCAGAGGTCAGCTTTGATCCAAGGACCTCCCACGCCAAACGTGAACGCACTTGCCAACTGCGCCACAAGGGTGGTGGACAGGCAAGCTTAACCCGCGCCCAGATGGGGTCTGCCGAGCAACGCGGTCTGATGGGGGGGGGGGGCCATTTTGGCCCCCCCCCTCAGATCTCGAGAACCACGCAACATAGCGACAAGCGGTAAACGGTGTTGGATAGCCCCAACAGGGAACTACCTTGTGACCCAATTTCATTGACCTCGGTCAAACCGATGACGTCACAGGTCAGGTCAAAGGTCGAATTTTCACCGTTTACAGGCATTTCAAGAAATGCGTTGTAAAATCGTGTAAAATGCATTTCATTGAAAATCATCGATGGGGAAATGTTCTTCAAACACATATTTTGCTATTTGAGGTCACTGATACCAGGTCAGGTCACAGAGGTCAGGTCACTGGGGGGTCACAATATGAAAGTGTCGTGTGATACATGTTTTATGGTCCATTTTACATGACAAATGCGATTATGTGGGTCAGACAGACTTTAGGGCCAGCTTAGGTCACGTTTTGGTCAAGGTCAGGTCAAGGTCAGGTCAAGGTCAGGTCAAATTAGGTCAAATTTCAAAGTTGATATTTTTGCATAAAATGGGTATCGATTCGATGCAGCTCGTCACGGGGAGTTCAATGGTGGTCTCCGTTTTGCGCTACGAGGTCTAGAATTGCTAAAAATTGAGTTCAAAAATTTGACGTCATCAATTTTTAACAGTTTTTTTCGCTATAACTTGGCCAAAAAACGAGGTATCGATCTAAAATTTGGTATGTATATCGAAGAGCGCAGGGACTATCACATATATTCCGGTTTTTTTTCGAAATTCGAAAAAAAAAATTGGAAATTTTTTGAGTTTTTATAAAAAAAAATCATTTTTTTTATTTTTGGGGGTCAAAATCCAAAAATTTCAAAAATCCGAGATAGCAGTTTTGTAGCGCCGTCTTTTCTCTACACAACCACATAAAGAACTTTAAAATTGCTTGTGAACTGTAGAATTGGTGAGCGTTTCAAGATGTCATGTTTTTTGCTCATTTTTACTCGAACATGACCTCAGTTTGACCTCAATAACTCCTGACCTGAGGTGACCTGTGACTTGAAATTTTGTGTGAAGGTGTCAAATTGATGTCCGGTAAGGTACCCAAAATTTGGCGGCGCTGCGCGCCGCCGTTTTCTCGCTATTTAAGAAAAACCACAGGGGGGGGGCCAAAATGGCCCCCCCCCATCAGGGCGCGGGTTAACACAACTTCGAATGCCTACAGAAAAAGAAGCCTCAGAAGCATCATGAGCGGGACGCGCTAACTCTGGCATTCTAGCGTTAAGCTGTGCTCGCTAACAGCTCACTCGAGCACTCGACAATTATCGGTAGATCAGTTTGCCGAAATATTATATTTAGAATACGACAAACGTCAATCACTATATTAGCCAGGGCACACATGAGTGAGCGGTAATGCTATAAGCGTAACTCCAGAAGAGTGCTGTTACGATAAGTGGCGGCCGTCGATATTCCCGCGGAAAACAATACACGTATTCCATTGGTCGATCAGACTGCTCGGCCGACGCAAAACACACCGCTCTATATCGCTGAAAACAGGCGGCGCGAGCGGCGGCGGCTCGCTCCCGCAGCCCGCCGGGGACCGTTAGCCACCCGACCCCCGCCCGTGACACCGAGCGGACCCCAGAGAGCCCCACGGCGGTAACGAAGGGAGGTGCGACACTCACACAGCACCCTTACGAGCCTACAGACCGAACTCAGCGCAGACAAGGGCCCAGTTATAGCGCAGAAATAAGCGTTTCGAGAAATGAAGGTGCGCGTTGATCAAAGTAATCGTCAGGATCCGGGATGCGGTTGGACACCCACCGCTATAATTAGGACGGGTAACAGGGGCTGATTTCCAAAGGGACGTTTTAACAGGCTTCATATAATAATTATATTTTATGCGTAGCCACAGATAACAGTATTACTACTGTTCTGTGGCGTGGCACATTCTCAGAGAACATTGTAAATGAGATAAATTATAAGCTATAGACGGCATATTTAGCAGATATTATAACGAGACAATTTTTCTAGCACCGTAAGTGCCAATTTCAGTGATGGTCCACAGCCTGAAGTCTACTTGTTTGTTTGTTTGTTTGTTTTGTTGGGTTAGGCCCTTTCGGTCGACAAGACCATTGCAGAGCCGGAAGGATGATAGGATTTAGGGGGAGACATTGGTCTGGGCAGGCATCCTAGTGAGTCGCCGGGGCTGAGCCCGTCCAGAGGACAGGCCACCCAGCCCCAAGGCACTCACTGCACCCGGCTACGGGGTGCGCTCCCTCAGGAGCAGCGGTGCGGCTCCAAGGGAGCAGCCCGCATGAGATAAAGTTGCCTGTCCAGCCCGGAGGGGGGTTACGGCGTGGAGGAGAAGGATTTCAGTATCCTGAGGATAGAAGCATGGAACGGTGCTGAAGTCTACTTCCACTGACCTGATGCCATTTATCAACACTGATCACTCTATCCTTCGTTATAACCCCGACAGCGCATCGTTATAGCCACCTAGCGGCGATCAGAACAACTAAGTGTTGTGCGGCACAGCATGCATCAGGCGCTATACTCGCGCGCCATCTATTGACTGGGAATCAAACTAACTTGTACGTAGGTGGATTGCAGACGTGGGATATTCATTACAATTTACAGAAGAATAGATCGCATAACCAGTGATTGGAAGAGCATCTCCTCGTATACTGTTGAATATGCTCTTAGCGCTTGCATAGTTACTGGCGGTGGCGAAATGCCGATTACAGCGCGGCGCAATCAATCTAAAAGGCGCGATCACCGATCACTGATCGCACCTTTGACGGAAAAAATACGACAGAGTTCGCAGCGTTCTGCAGAGTCTCAGCTTTTTATGCCTCTGGGAAACGCCTAGGGTGAGCGTATCCGGCTACCCCTGGCCAATGTCCATTTCACAAAAAAAGGAACGTCCAGCCCGTCAGAGGAAGATAGGAATATCGAATTTTTGATTTGTCCTTTTTACTTAAATCTTATGTGGATTGAGCAAACGTGAGGAAAAAGAAATACGAGAAATAAGGAACCGTAGTTATGAAATGCTCCCTTTGATAAAAAATAGAATACGGATGCGTGTAGAGCCAAGTGTAGTGCAATAATGCAAGGGAGAGAGAGGAGAGAGAGAGAGAGGAGAGAGAGAGAGAGAGAGAGAGAGAGAGAGAGAGAGAGAGAGAGAGAGGAGAGAGAGAGAGAGAGAGAGAGAGAGAGAGAGAGAGAGAGAGAGGATAACAGATGGCCTAGTGCTAGCAAACTGACAATTTACAGTCAGTCGTTTACATTTACCACTGCCCACTAGCGACCATTTATAACTTGTAGAAATACCCCCCTCAGTGCGGGAAAAATACCATTGGTATTGTTGCTCCGAGCACAGAATCCCTGTCTCGTTCTCATCGACTCTCGCGGAGAAAAGATGTGGAACATAGGCGGCGGAACGGGGAGGGCACCGGGGCACCGTGCCCCCCTTTGATTTTGGCATTTTAACATTAGCCCTATGGGCGTTGCGTGGAAAGAATGGGACCAAAAGTCGGCAGTGCCCCCCCCCCTTGATTGAAGGTGTTCCGCCGCTACTGATGTGGAAGGGCGAGCAGTGGGCACTTTCCTCAGCCGATGAGCCCTGTTACGCCAAAGATCCCGGCACCTCTACCCCTCAGCCGTTGGGCAGTCTCGCGCACCTCTATCAGAGGTATGCGCTCTCTGGTGTCCTGAACTATGGCCACGATGCCCCGCAGTGGACCGGGGTCCGACCTCCAGTCACGGATCCGCTCGTATTCAGCTCCGCTCCCGTGACCCGTCGATGCGTGTTATAAAACTCACCCTCCCGAACGGCCATAATGGAAGCCAGGCTGGCAACCGGAAATGCGATAAGCATGTTTGGCTTTCGAGCCGCGAGTGAAATAGCTAGCAACTTCCGGTACACGTTATAGCTAAAAACAAAACAAGCAGGCCACCGTTTTCAGTGTATTAGGTCTGACGTCATGAAATGAGGTCACGTCTAAGGTGTATTTCTGTCAGGTAAGGGGCTTTACCTAGTTAGACGATGGGGAATAGTATTCCACCCACTTGACTCTAGAAAAACGCAATTATTGTTTCTTACATGACGAAACACACTATGTTCTTCTCCCGCAGACACGTAACGAGATAAACACCGTGAACAGTCCGCGTTGTGTCAAGCTAGCCAAACCGCTAGCCAAGTGAAGCGATTCATTTTAGCCACACCGCCACACATTACATCAGAGTTCACCCGAGACGCTCCGTTTTCACAGCCCAACTTTGGCAAATCCATCCAGCACTAGCAAA